TGGCACAAATGATATTTTACCATTTCAACTTCCTCATAATTTCTTTTTCGACACTTACCGTAATTAAAAGGACACTTAATTTTGGTTTCATCCATACATTCGGGATGCTCGGCAACAAAAGCTAAAAATTATTCTACCCTTTTGATACAAAGTCATCATTTAACAACCCATCAACTAACCTAACATTCATCCATTGTCAATTGGATTTCATTTTTTTAATTACTATAAAAATTATACAACCAATGCAAACAATTATTTATCATCATTCCTATAAATTTTAAATAAAAATTAAGCATATATATTAGTTGTGTAATTAACAATACTAGTTATGAATTTTGTTTCAAGAATTTGACTTTATATTTATTGATTGTATAAAGAATGATTACATTTTCTTTTTCTTTTTAGTATTCTTAAATATTTAATTTTATAATATTCAATGATTTATTGTGTAATTTTATTTTTGTATATTTTCTATCCTATCTTGCTATTAGTACACCTATTTTCACTTTATTTCAATCGAGTTCTTGAACTTTTATTTTTTATTAATTTTTTTATGCTTGTCTTTTTTATTATACCATTTAAATACTTTCATTAAATTTTATTTTCTCTAATAAAAGAACCCTCCAAAAATTAATATTATATTTCATAATTTAAATTAAATTTAAAAAATTCTACTAATAAATGAAAAGTTATCTATATTGAAGCTAAAAACGTTTATGTTTGTTAAATTTTCTTAATTAATTTAAAATAAATTCAAATAAATTTAATTTAATTAATCCTAAATAAAATATTTATTAAATTTTAACCTTTTTACAATCAAGTTGATATTTGTATATCAAAACTATGTGTTTTTTTCAATTAAATCTTAAATTATAAGATTATGATTAAACTATTTCGATGAAATCTTTAATTAAAGAACGGTTTTAATTTTTTTTCTAATTACATATTTATTCTAATTTTTTTATTTTTCAAACGATTAAATCATTATACATGTTATCTTCCTTCAATTTTAATAATTAAGCTATAACAATTACTTCTAGCATTTATATTCAAACTAACCATAAATCAAATTAATTACATTAAATTAATATAAACTAATGACATTAATTTGAATTTAAATAATATATAGATTTAAAAATAACAACAAACAAATTAAAAATATTAAGCTAGTAACTAATTCAAACAAAAAAACAGCATCACAACTTAACAATAAATTAAAAATATTTTAACCAACCAATAAATTAAAAATAACTTAAGAAATAATCAACAAAATTTAACTAAATTACCCAAAAATTATATAATTAAAAATTAACATAAAATAAACAACTAACAAAATTGAACTAATAATGAACACAAATAATTAATTAATTATTTATTTTAAAATAAATAAATTTTAACCTAAAAATTAATAACAATAAATCAACCTAAACTAAATTGCATTAAAAAAATTACATAACATAAATAAAATTCAACCTAAAAATTAACATATTTAAATTTTTTAGGTTAAAATTAACATAGTTAAAAAGTAACACTTAACAAAATTATTTTAATAATTAACAAAATTAAGTAAAAAAATTATCACATTTACGCAAATAATTAACATACAAATTAACATAATTAAAAATTAACATAACAATAAAATTTAACAACATTCAAACAATTATTAAAAAAAAATTATACTCATAAATAACGAAATTAAACAAAAAATTAATCAACTAACTAGTAACAAAATTAACATAGAAACTTATAGCATTAATTTAATTTTAAGAAAAAATAAAACAAAAGATTTAGAGAAAGAAAAATTTACAAAAGAGATCAACGAGAGAAAGTAGAGATTGCGTCGGATTTTGAGGGAGAAAAATGTGCATCACCAAGTTAAATGGCTTGGGGAGGCAATGGTTGTCATTGGGCGACGTGGGGAGGTGATTTGGGGTTAGGGGCTGGTTTTGGTGTAGGAGAAGGAGAGAAACCGCCGGACATAGGGATTTTTTTAGCAATGGACACATTTTCGTTGCTAATCTCTTGCTAATTAGCGATGAAAATAAGTATTCGTCGCTAATTTGAACTCGAAAAGGCATCGATGTTCGGAATTTTAGAGAAAAATGCTAAATTAGCAACGGATTTTGAAATCTATTACTATTTAAATTTCAAATTAACGATGAAAAACTCGTTTCGTCGCTATTTTGAACCCCAAAATCAACCCAAACGGTTCCTTTATTAGCAATGAAAACTATCCGTTGTTATTTACAAACGGATAGCGATAGATATTCTTGCCATCGCTAAATTAATGATGGAAATCCGTCGCTATTCCTCACCGAATGTGGGGTTTTTTTTTACCGCGTTATTTAGCAACGGGTTTAATTCCGTCGTTGAATATCCCTCTCTATTATGTCATTGTTTACTCACAAAAATCATCTTTTTCTCGTCTATCGCTAATCTCTCATTAATTTATCTCCAATTAGAGATGGAATGGTATCCGTCGCTAATATCCATCTCTAATTACTAATTTTTTTTGTAGTATTTTGTCATTGAAGATCATATTGAGAGGATGTCTTAAATACTAAAATGACAAATTTCAATGATTTTGTAAGATAAAACGTGATAAAATTAGTCATTTTACTCTATAAAAAATAACAAAATTTATCATGTTATAAAAATAAGTATGATGAAATCCCTCACATTTTATGTATTGACACGAAGAATTTCGTCTTACAAAGACATTAAAAGGTACTTTTAAAACTTTATCTTGATAATTTGTGATTTTTGGCTGATAAAATATGACTAAATTTGTCAACACTACATGAAGAAAATGACAAAATTCATCGGATTTAGAAATATCTAACTTGACAAAATTTATCGACTTTGTGATAGAGGGGTGTATTTTGGTTAATTTAGGCCTTGGTCGGATTTTTCTTCAAAAAGTGTACTATTGGAGAATTAAGAATTTAGTCCCTGCCGGGCCAGCCCTACATGAGTTTTTACTTTTTATGCAAAACCAAAGCTAAGAGAATATTTGACTTCAAAGAGAATACGTAAAATATATGAAGAACATTGGCCCTACGATTACAAGTCCTTTGAAATGAAAAGAATTGTAAAATATTCCCAGCTCCCTTCCTCTCTCTCTCTCTCTCCTTCTCTTTTTTTTTTTTTTAATGTGATTTATTAAGGAAACTATAAGAAGATCAGTGCACTAGATCAAGCAGCCAATAAGCATATATATATATATATATATAATCAAGCACTTGTATGAACTACGTACGTAGTGCCAATATTCTTTCTCGCTTCATTATAACAATTGTGGATATTTTTCTTCATCTTAAAAAAGTTGTTGTAATTCACTTTTGGAACCTTAAAAAAGTACTTATTCTTTAATTCTTAACAGTTCCTCAGGTGTTATTCCTTCGGAAAGGTTTGGAACATAAAATGTATCGCCCAAATTAAACATGCATTTCGATCTTTGACAAAGATGCAATTTTTCTATTTCTCAATCGATCAAAACCATGTTTTCCACTAAAGTTGTTTTGTTGATAAACTGATCACAAAGGTAAATAAATCCTTCCTCATTCGTGATAGTCATCATTTCTTGGAGCTATAACAGTCAAATAACACATTAAGTATATCTATATATGCACACATATATAGTGGAATAATTTTAAATGATGACAATTTGAAGATCAACCTTTCACTTTCTTGAATTCGACCCCTCCACCTCCACCCTAAACAGTTAACAAAAGAAAATAAGGAAAAATAAAATAAAACCACACATGCACCTGTTAGAAGATACCTTATGATCAATTAAAATTAAATAGTACACTACTTGTGCAGACATTAAACGGACGTTTTTCTTAGTAAACAATCATAGAGATACAAAAAGAAATTTTCTGAAAATGTTTTATCTCTGAATTTTTAACAATTTTTATTATACTTAATATGTTTATTGATATTGAATGGTTTGAATAATACATGAATCCATAAATATGAGTTGCTTCAGTTGATCAAGATGGCATATTTAAGCCTCTCCAAAAGTTAGCGAGGCTAGCTAGCTGCTACTCATATATAATTTTAGTTGAGTAAATTATAAATTAGTCCCTCTAGTTTTGAGAAATGAATTAATTATTTTTTTATTTTAAAAACTAATTATTATTATTATTATTTTTTTTTAGTTTTGATCAGACTTAATTTAATATTATTTTATTTTTTATAAAAAAAAAATTCTCTTCTTTTCTCATCAATCTTTTCATAATATCTATTTTTTAAGACAAATAAAAATTAGAAAAGAAAAATAAAATAGACAAAAATAATTAAATAATTAATTTTTGAAATAAAAGTAACTAATCAATTTATTTTTAAAAACTAAAGGGACTAATTTATAATTTAGTAAATTATAACTTTAAAAAAGAAAAAATCTAAAATTTGTGGCATCCATGGATTCTTAACAAGGATGTGATGCCACTGCCACCAGTTGCAATAATGGATTCAAATTTCTTTGATAGTAGGTAGCTAGCTAGCTCTATGACCATATATTTAAACCAACCATTAATATGGAACTGAATCGGTACTAATTAATATAATCAAATTAATTAACCCATACTAAACAAGCTAATAATTAAAAACACCAATTAAGACAACCTTTGATGCCCTGATCACTTACAACATATTAATTAATTAATTAATTAATTGCAAAAGTATCTTATCAACATGCACTAAGCTTTGATGTCCAGCTTGTTGATGGAATTAATATAAAGATAGACTTATTATATTGGTGATACTGTGTGTGTGTTTGTAATACTACGAATTTCCTTTTCAAATCCAACTCAAAGTTTCGAAAACAACCCATCGATCATGAAAGTGATGTTAATGTCGTTATAACAAATCCAACAGTACCAGCTAGCTAGCTTGGTTAGAAAGTGCTTTTACAAAAGTAAAAACATATATATGCTATATCTCCCAACATTCCTACAATATTAATTAATTAGTTGTCTATATATATTAGACATAAGTCATCCAGCAATATACGGTACATACATCAGACTTGACAAAGCCTCTTGCAGCCACCGTTCATCATCATCATCATCATAGTCATTCTTGATCTGCAAAGTATATACACAATAATTCTTAAGTAGATTCATAAACATTTAATCGATCTTCACAGCATGTATTAATTTTCATGCTTAAATTATTATATTTTTTTGGTGACAGGGGAGGAGAAACTTGAACAGATTAATTCAACTAAAACTAAAATGTAGTAAAGAAAGAAAGATGATAAATTAAGGTAAACTCGAGTCTTAAAAACCAAAAAAGAAATATAAATTTTGTAGCCAGAAAGTACCTGGACTGCATCACTACTGCAATACGTTTCTTTTTCATGATGGTGATCATAAGGAATGTTATCGTCATTCTTCTTAACCTCAGTTTCTTCTTCAAATATTTCGTTGTTCCGAGCAAATCTCCCGCGAACGCGAACTCTCCGGTCAGCTAGGGTTTTTCGGCAAGCATACTGCAATATTGTTTCAAGAATTATAGATAGGTTAAGTTCACATTTTCTAAATATAGGATTAGATATGAAATGGGTTTAACAGAAAGTTAATTACCTTGATGGTCTTGTTAAAGTTCCTTTGGTTTCTCTTCTTCAAATACCTTAGAATCCTGTCTTTCCTCTCTTCCACCGTGTACCGGCCAACCTTGACCGTGTTTGTGCTTTCTTTTGCTGTGAGTCGGTTATTATATTCAAGCCTCTGAAGAAGAATTTCCAAATCATGTGTACCAAAAAGAAATTAAGAACTAGGAAAAAAACTTTTTATAAAAATCCTATATATCATCATGCATGCTTAGGAATCTTCAAAAAAAAAAAAAAAAAAAGTGCATACCCAATTTTCTTCAGCAGCAGGACAGATAACAGGCGTAAAATTTGGCAAAAAACCACAACAATCCTCCCCATAGTCACACACATCCGAGAACTGAAATCCGCCACCGAAATTCTGAATTTTTGCAATGCCACCATTAGACCCCAATTTATAATCCATCAATGTGGGCACAACCATATCCGAAATCCCAAATCTTTCAGGCAATGAATTCGTTGCCGGAATCCGTGACATGATCTCAGATTCCCCTTGAAAAATATCAAGTGCGCCTCCCTTGTTATGATCGTAAAATGTTGGAAAACTGTGATCTTGATGATCACCCAGCATTGCACCGCCACTAGGACTAGAAATTGCACCACTTGATACATTTGTGCTAGAAAATGAACCAGTTCTAGCATATCTATGATCTTGAGCCATTACAGATGAAATCGCTGAAAATTCATCTGGAGAAAATTGATAATCAGAATAGAAATGAGGAATGGAAGCCATTGAAGAGAGGATATGGAACCGGTTCTAGCTTTTTTCCTTTTCCTGCCGTGTCTGTCACTAGACCATTAAGGCCACAACATACATATATATATATGTGTGTGTGGGCGCGCGTGTGGACTGCGAACTGGCTTTAGGCAACTTGTCTGCCCGGAACCTGTCCGGGTAGGACATAGGACATTAGCTTAAGACATAATTGGGAAACAAGAGGTAGCTAACTAACTAAACTGACACTGTGTGTAATTAGCTAGCTGTGCTGTTTTATTAAGCTGTAAATTAATAAATTTAGCAACTGCCCTTTTTTGTAATTTATCTTGACCATATTTTGATTCTGCCCTTATGTGTCACCAGTCACCGCACGTACAACACAAAATTTTATTGTTTTTTGCTGGCCAAAATTAGTCTTGCCAGCACGTTTAGGGCTTGATGGTTTTTGGTTGTTGCATGCCCCTCAAAAAATTAAGATTCATTTTGATTAATTATCCAATAAAGATCATTCAATTGTACAGTTTAATTTTGGATCCAAAACCGTTAATCTATGACATGTATGGTCATTAGACGTGTGGTTTTTTAACTTCATATCCAAATCTTTTCCAAATAACAACTTATCCATAATTCCTCTACGTATGGTTTATAGAATGGAGTGAAGCATATTTCGTTTCTTTAATGTAAATTTTCCAATATTTATTATTATTTTTTTTTAACTATCAATACAAGTAACAAAATCCAAGGTATGAAATCAAAACGGATTGGTTTGAGTGAAAAAAAAAAAAAATTAATATTTAAATAAATAATTTTGGTTTTGAATTTTTATGTATTTAGAAAATTTTTTAATAATTGTATGTCGAATGCATTAAAGAGAATAACGAAGTAATTAATTAATTTGAATCATTAAAACTAAGATACTTTGAAAATCCCAAAAAAAAAAAAAAACATGATATTGACCTTTAAATTTTTTGTGACGAAAATATGAAGTTGGAGTCATCTCCTTGTAATCAAGGTAGCTTTATTGTGATGTGGACCAATATTTATATTCAATCCAAATATAAGGGTATTTAACTTGTCAAGCTTAAAGATGAAGATTATAAATTAAAAGCAAAACATTCTTTTCTCACCTTGAGTTTTTTTTTTTTTCTTTTTTCAGCTGTCTGCCACAACCGGCTGTAGCATTTTTTTTACTTTTTTCAATGTTTTATTTCAATACTTTCAGATCCAGTATTCTTTCTATTAGATTTGACGTTTGTCAAGTTTTTCAGGTATTTTTCTTCTATTAAAGTTGTGGTTTGAATTTTTTTTTTCTGTTTTTTATATTTTTTATATTTTTACGGGTCTTTGTTGCCATAACAGTTTTAAATATATAGATTGCTAATAAATCAGTATTCAAATTTTTTGTTCAATTCAAAAAATGAGTTCTAAGGTAACAGAACTACTAAACAAATTGTTAAAAAAAAAAAAAAAAAGAGTATGATTCATATGAATGGAAAAAAAAATTAATTCAGTGAAATTTCTGTCTTTCGCAGAAGGATAAAAAAAATGAGAAGACAGCTGGGTTTTGGGTTTAGTCACTCTTCTCAGCCCCAACTGTAGTAGTGTGTATATATATATATATATATCAAATTTAACAAAAAAAACTTGCATGATCGTTTTATGGTAAAAATTTTGTTATGATTCACAGAATCAATGTAATTAAAGGCAATATTTATGTGAAAATTGAGGCATGTACAAGCCGATCGAGATGATAAAATAAGATGGGATCAATGCTAAAGTGTGGATTTAGGACAAGTTGGAAAGAAAGCTGAACTGACACCCTGATAGACAAAAAGGCAGCATAGAGGGCCTCCTCATGTGCCACTGTGATTACTATTCTTATACTGTCTAGAGCTGGACAACGCAAGGTACTGTTAAAGAGGTAGCCTACTTCCTAGCCCAAGAATCTAACACATGGACTTGTAAGATTGGCATCGACAGAGCAAGTACAAACATATATCCCCCAATATTTTGGGTTCAGATAGTTACCCTTCTTTCTACAGCTATATTACCACTGCAACCACCGTTACTACAGTTACATTGCCATGTAGAATGAAAGGATAGATATGCCCTAGACATGATGTACCTTTTATTTCCATCTACATGACACGTTGAATGGACTGCCCTTGTTTCTAAGGGCGGGATTCTTTAGAAGGGTCAAAATAAGCTGCTTGACAGGACTTCCGTTTTTGCGTGAGGATTAAAGAACATGTTCTTTTGTTGATCATATGTCTCAGAGATTCTTATTGATTTTCCATCTGCTTATTAAATTCTTTGAAATGCAATTACCTTCCCTTATTTATCGTTACATCTAAAGTAAATTTTAGCAGTGTCAGCTAATAGATTGCTCAAGGGCAAAAGCTACTTCCAGAAGAGATGATGATATAAAAAAAAATTGTACATGTACTAGATATACTGTCAACATCCACGGAAATCCTTGCCATATGGTAATGTCCCAGGACATTAAAGCAAAATTGACTAACTGAGGAAGGGTCTTTCCATTTGGTACCACAAATTGTCTAATCATCAATCCACAAGTTTAGTCGAGTTAAAAAGGATTAGTCGTTAGATGACCTCAAATCCACAAGGATTAAGAGACTTTCCTCACTGCACATGTTCCATATTTTTTATGCTTCCCTCGTTGGTTTTTTGAATTATGAAAGGGGTATTATAAATTTTTACTTGGTTCAATTATAAATAAACCAATTATTGGACTTAATGATTCTGAAACATTGAATGTTTACTTATTTTATTTATGCATTACATTTTCATAATTTATATCAAATATATTTTATGTTGAGTATATATTATAGGAGTATAGTCTACTCCATAAGTGATCTTAGGGTAAACCATTCAGAAAAAAATTAAGAACAAAATTGAAGCAAAAATAAATTAAATAGGAAAAGCATTATTGTGAAATGAGAAAGAAAATTTTTCTTTTCTTGTATTTTTTTTTCCCTTTCTTATCCGAGACTTGCATGTAAAAGAAAGAATTTGAACAATATTTTCCAAGAGAGTGCAATTGAAGAAGAAAAAAAAAGTGAGGTTTTTCTAATTCTTTTATCGAATTGTATAGAAAGAAAGCATTGATTTTTGATGCACTAGATATTGCGATTTTCTATCATTGATTTTTTAGCCGTACAATCACATAAAATTACAATGTTTAAAGTGATGATTTTACATAGTATTCGGCTTTACAAAAATATAAAAATTTGTGCAAATTTCATGTTTTTGTGATGGTTCGAATTTAGTTAGAGAGGTAACATTTATTACTATAAATATTTTGCTTCTTAAGTCCATGTTTTTGTCTGTTTAGCCGAGACTCACATATAAAACAAAGAGTTTGTTTTTTTTAAAAAAAAGTAATATTTTCCAACATAGAGCAATTGAAGAAAAAAGAAAGAAAAAAGTAAGACATTTTCTTATTCTTTTGACGAATTCTAAAAAAAGAAAGAAAACGTTTTTTGGTGCATCAAATATTGTGGTTTTCTCAAGCATTGATTTTTTAGTACTACAATCACAAAAAAAATTATAGTATTCAAGGTGATGATGTCATACGGTATTGAATTTTACGGAAATATACAAACTTGCACGGATTTCGGGTTTTCGTAATGATACGAATTTACTTAGAGAGATAACTTTTATTACTATAAATATTTTTTCTTTTCAAGTTCACGAAAAAAAAACTTGAGTGGTTGTATTGTTTTCTTGATTATAGTAGATAGTTCGAAATGGGTCTCGTAATTTTTCCTCTACAATAGAGATCGTTTTCCATGTAAATCTAGTGCTTTTATAGTTGTCCTCTTATTGTTGATTTATTTTGTACTCTTGATTCTTGTATGTATTTAACTTGATTATTTTCTCATTAAAACTAATTCTTAAGAAGTGGGATTAAATTCTCAACTTGGATATCAAAGCGCTGGTTGGAATATTTGTATAAATTAGATGGAGAAAAACAATTCGAGAACCATGAATTATTCAATTTAGAAGCCGATGTGGAATATTTATTTAATTACCATGATTTATTTGATCCGATTGAATTATATAAAGTTATACCAACCATTAAGACCGATGATGCTGAAAAAAATCATAATAAAGTTATTACGGATATCGGATAATGGATGGACGATAGTGTGTTTCACCATGTATCTAAAGTTATTAATGCCTAGAAACATGGAAAAAAAATTAGAGAGTGTGTATGAAAAAAAGACTGAATGGAACAAGTTTTTTTTTATTATTATTAGAAAGCTTATGAAATTAAAATCTAGAGATGGAAGGTGTACTATTGAATACTTGAATGGTTTTTAAGGTTTGGCTAATTAGTTGAAAACTATAAAAATAGTATGAGATGGTGCTTTACAAGCACTATTGTTTTTAGAAATTTTGCTAGACGGTTGAAAGTTTTTAGTTGTGGCACTTGATAATTCTACTCTAAATGGTGTTTTATCGCTATCCATTATTAAAAATAGCTTGTTTAATTAAAAAAAAAAAGATAAAAGTATAGTGATCATGGATGATGTACGACTCTTATCACAAAAAGCTCGAAAAAGGAGTAGGAATAGGAAATTTAAAGGGCACGAGTAAATACGAGTTGCAAATCATAATCTAGTGACAGTTTTAAATATCATCATTATAAAAGAGAATATCACATTAAGAAATTACAATGCAAGGAATAAAAAACAAAAAGATTTAAAGAATTAGGCTGAAGATAATGAGAAAATCATTTTAATATTAACTTTAGATTGAGATTTGATGATATTCTCATATAAAAAAGGTAAGTGTAAGGTATAGATTCTTGTATTGAATAGGTTTTTAACTTAGTGGCTACATATCACGTTACTTTTATGAAGAAATTCTTTACTCGTGTATAAAATAGTAGACTTTGATAGAGTAAATATGGGCAA